GACAATGAGAGAGGAACTACTGCTACTCCTGTTCAAACTCTTCAGTGAAACTGAAAGTGAAGCAATACTCCTGAATTCATTCCTGGAAGCATCACCTTGATCCCCAAAGCACAGATAGATCCAACGGAAAAAAAGAACTATAGGCCCATCTCACTAATGAACATAAATACAAAAATCCTTAATGAAATACTACAAATAGAATGCAGGAAATCATCAAGAAGATCACACACTGAGTGGGATTCACCTCAGGGATGCAGGGATGGTTCAGCATGTGCAAATCAGTAAATGTAATGCACTGTATTAATAGAGCCAAGGGTGAAAACCATATAATTATCTCAATCGATAGAGAGAAAGCATTTGACAAAATCAAAAACAAATTTATGATAAAAACCTTCTAAAAATTAGAATAGATGGTCTCTACCTCAATCTGATAAAAGCCATCTATGAAAAACCAACAGCCAATATCATACTAAATAGTTGAAAACTGAAATCCTTCACACTAAAATCAGGAACAAGACAAGGATGTCCACTATCACTACTCCTGTTCAATACAGTTTGGAAACATTAGGCACAGCCATTAGATATCAGAAAGAAATAAAAGGAATAAAGATAGTATTTGAAGAGGTCACCTTGTTTTTTTTATCTTTTTGAGTTTATTGGTACTTTTAAGTATACAGTACAGTTACATTCATCATTGGGATCTTGTACCCTTACATAACAGATCATGGTTCTCATTTTTCTTTTATTGTTCATTTCCCCCATATCCCTGCCCTCCTTTCACCTCCTCCATCCTCCCTTGTTTACAAAGACTTTGTTTACATTTTTCCTTTTCTCATATTTTTTTCTTGTCCCTTATTTCCTTTCATCTGCCCTTCCCAAAACTATTCTGTATTTACATGTGTGCCTTATTTATTTCATTTAAGAGTATGACCTCAATATGCATCCATTTTCCTGTGAATTACTCTGGTTTCTCATTCGTCATGGCTGAGTACTCCATTTTATAGAAAAAGCACATCTTCTTTATCCAGTTTCCAACTGATGGGCAAATGGGCTGTTTCCAAGTTTTAGCTATTACAAACTGTGACACTACATATGGATGCGCATGAGGTCAAATTGTTATTATTCATAGATGACATGATCGTCTATCTAGAAGAGCCCAGGAACTCCACTAAAAGCCTTCCAGACTTAATAGCAAAGTAGCTGGATACAAGATCAACAAACTAAAGTCAGTAGCTTTACTGTAAATGAGAAACAGATTTACTGAGAGAGAAATGGGACAAACAGTCCCTTTCACAATAGCATTAAAAAAATTGAAATACCTAGGAATCCACCTAGTGAAAGAAGTCAAAGACCTCTCCTCTGAAAACTACAACACTCTGAATAAAGAGATTGAAGAGGTATCAGAAAATGGAAGGGGGTGAAGGGAGGGCAGGGGTAAGGGGATAAAATGAGAATCAAGACGTCATGTAGAGGTACAAGATCCCAACAATGAATGTAACTGTACTGTATCCCTAAAATGTACCAATAAACTCAATTAAAGATGAAAAAAAAAGAAAAAGAAAATGGAAAGACATCCCTTGTTCCTGCGTAGGAAGAATGAACACAGTGAAAATGGCCATACTTCCAAAACTGCTATAAGTAAAGAATGTGAAACTAGAGACATTTATAGCTAAATGGATGCACACTGAGGTGACAGTCTTAAGTGATATAAATAGGACATACGTATGTGTAAATACCAAATAGTTTCTCCAGTGTGAGACCATGAAAGTGCAAATAAGGACTAAAAGATATACTATACAATGTGAAATATGAAAAAAGATACAAAGAGGAAGAGGAAAGGGGCAGGGAAAGGAAAGATGGGAATGGAATTAACATGAGAAAAAGAAAAAGGAAACAAAGTCTTAGTAGACACGGAGGGGTGGAGGGGTTGAAGGGAGGACAGGGGAGTGGGGAAAAATAAGAATCAAGATGGATCACGTAAAGGTGCAAATTATTAACGATGAATGTCATCACATTGTACATCTCAAGTGCACCAATAAAATTAAATAGTTAAAAAATAAGAAATATAAACTCCTTTATCACAGTATAGGCAAACACAGAGGATATTATGATGTCATAGAAAGCAAACACTGAAAGAGTGCATTAAGTCACACGTGGAATATGAAATAGTCAAACTCATTGGAGTAAGAGAAGTATAAGGGTTAACAGAGCCTGCAGCATGAAAGAAATAAAAAACAGTATAAAGTAACCTCATCCCTTGTAATTATTGGTGCAGCTGAAGTGTTTGGATACAAAAAGCAAAAGATTTCCACATTCTGTTGTATGGCATGAAGCCACAGTAAAGATGATTGCAGTGTATCCCGATGCTTGCTAAAAGCACCGTATTGCATAACTGCAGTACACTAAAAGATTAAATACTTTAACGATAAAAATAAACCACAGAAGAAAAATGTTGATATTTTGAGGTGTTAATAAGCCTAATTGTGATGATCATTTGATACTTAACATTTATCCAAATATCAAATTCTATGCCTAAACATGTGGATACTTTTTTGACAATTCTACCTCAATAGTGCAGAAAAACATTTTTATATATTTCATTTCTGCCCAGACTGGATTTTTGTTTGTTGGTGATGTGACCTCAAATTGTTAATTGATGATAATTTCCTCGAGGTCTGTCTGGGGAAATAGTGTTCTAGACCATTTTTATTCTTGTGACATCTCAGTGCATCGCCTACCCTCAGAATCCTGCTTAGGTCTCATTGGGTTTAATTAAGGAAAAGTCTCCCATTGAGACAGAGCAACTGAATGATTCAACAATATGCACTGTGATTCAAATACAGATAAAGTGTCCAAAGTCTTGGCCCTTACCTCGGGAATGTTTGTTTATACTATTAGTCATATAACACTTATCTTAGCAATAAACATGATATATTTAAGGTAAGATAGAACAGTGATTCATTTTTTCTTGATTATTTAGTTAGTCCTAAATTGAAACATGGTGTATGAAGTCTGGCCACTGTACTTGATTGGAAATCCAAATATTTGGAAGCCTAGATCATTGTTTTTTTGTAAAAATTCCAAATATATGTCTCAGGTATTCATGATTCCTTTTCCACAAAATTTACTTAACTTATTAAAACTTAAAATGATTATTTAGCAATTTTTTGCTTTAAGGAAAAGATTTGCCAAAAGATCTGGGTCTCTGTGTAATAGATTCTGATTGATTGAGGTTGCAGAATGTTGCTGCTATTAGTTTAAAAGTAATGTTCGTAATGTCTGATGAATCAACCTTCCTGCAAGCATGGAAATAATTGGTCATTGGAAACATTCCAAGGTGAGGTGATGGTGCCGTAATTATTTTGTTTTCTGCATGTGGATAAATGGCATTAGTGCATGAAGCTGTTATGTTAGAATCCAGGAGAAGCATCAAAGTACCAAATGGGGAACAAATGACTCTGTCCTTTGGCAGGTAACCCAGGAAGGTTATGTACTGTGCTTCTAAGGGAGGCTTTGCACTGTGTACACTGATCACATAGGTACTCACAGTCTTTAAAGAGTTTTACATCATACTGGTAGTTACGTGGCAGGATCCTTCATTATTGCTAAGATCTGTGTATACTGATTCCAACATTGAATATTTCTCTTGCATATTTCAAAATTATAAAATTGTAGAATAAATATTCCTCCTCCAGTAATCAGTGCTTTTACAAACTAATTGCATGTGTCACCATTTGGGAGACTTTTGATGAGCTGGTGCTTGTCAATATATTGATAGAACCAATGGAGCTGTCGTCTGAACTTGGTTTGGAATGTTAAAAATGAAAATAGGACTTGGCATCTGTAGAAGTTAAAGAGAGACTCTGGAGAACATAATGTAATGTGTGCTCGAGTCAGCCAGCTCCTGGATTAATTCCAAAGAATGTTGTTCAGTTAAGAGGAGAACTCAAACTGACTTTGGACTTAAGTGATGGAGTTCATATATCGCATGCAGAGAATTGTGTTTGGATGCTTGCTAGAAGAGATGTGGAGTCAACAGTAGAATTTTTAAACATGAAGACTTACTGTGTGAATTTTCTAACAGAAGGCTGCACTATAGGAAGGAAAATAGGGATGTAGGAAATGGAGAGGAAGCCTGAAAGACCAGTGTTAGGAGTGAAAAAGATGATTAAATGAATATCAGTAGCAGAGACAGGGCTAGAGTTTTAGAGAGATATGTTCCATGCCTGCAAAGAGGGAGCAGAGCATAAATAATAAATCAGATTGAAGTGTCAGTAGAGATTTAGACACTCTCACTTCTATAATTATTTAAAAGAGAATATTGTAGTAGTGACGATAATTCCCCTTGCAGTAGTTTTCTTTCTCTGCTTGCAATGTTCCTGTTTCTCTTCTTTCATCATTTCTCCCAGTGTCCTCCTTTCTTTTCTCTTCTCCTCTCCTCCTTTTCCCTCTCATCTCCTCCCATTTCCTTCTCTCTAAACTACTTTTGTGTATTTATTTATTGTACCCTTTTTTATATTCTTAAATATTTTAAAATTGTCCAAAGTGTCACTCCCAGATTTCCCTTTGCTGAGAAGTTTCTTTCATCCCAAGAATGTAGAAATTACATTTACTTTGTTATCAAGAAGTAAATATAAAAGACCTCACTGTTGTGTTAAATTAAATATTTAATCCATCTTTTTTTTCTTTATGATGGTAGCACTGTGAGCATCTCCATTAACTTCCAGGCACAAAGTTGGTTGTGCGAGACTCATTTTTCTTTCACACACCATATTTGCTAAGAGGTCTCTGATTTTTTATTTCTCCCAAGATTATTCTGTAACAACCCTAGAGTTAGGCTCTAAATTTGAATAATTATAAAAGTGAAAGTTCAGAAACAAAGTATTTATAATGTTCCTATAAGGAATGAATAAGCATCCTAAAATTTCCTAAAACTACTAGTAATTCTTTTTGCAGGCAATTCTTTTTGAGGATTGATAAGAGGACACACAGAAGGAAGTATGGAAGAAAGGAAAAATGTGACTGAGTTCGTGCTCCTGGGGCTCACTCAGAGCCTGCAGGGTCAGAAGATATTATTTGCTCTGTTTTTGGTGATCTATGTGGTGACCATGGCAGGCAACCTACTCATTGTCGTGACTGTGGTGCTCAGCCCAACACTGGATTCTCCAATGTACTTCTTTCTCGGCTATTTATCATTCATCGATGCTGTTTATTCCACTACAGTTACTCCAAATATGATTATAGATTTACTCTATGAGAAGAAAACCATTTCCTTCAAAGCTTGCATGACACAGCTTTCTGTAGGTCACTTGTTTGGTGGTGCTGAGATTATGCTCCTGGTGGTGATGGCCTATGACCGCTATGTGGCCATCTGCAAACCCCTGCATTATCTGACCATCATGAACCCACGGGTGTGTGTTCAGTTGTTGGTGTTAGCCTGGGTTGTAGGTTTTGTGCATGCTGTACCACACGTTCTCTTTGTTTACAACCTTCCCTTCTGCGGCCCCAATGTCATTGACCACTTCATCTGTGACATGTACCCCTTACTGAAACTCGCCTGCACGGACACCTATGTCGTTAGCCTCACAGTGCTGGCCAATGACGGGGTGATCTCCGTGGCCATCTTCACAATCTTGCTCATCTCCTACGGGGTCATTCTGCACTCCCTGAAGAACCTGAGCCAGGAAGGGAGGGGCAAGGCCTTGTCCACCTGTGGCTCCCACATCACCGTGGTGGTCCTCTTCTTTGTTCCTTGTATTTTCATGTATGTGAGACCTCCCTCTACCTTGCCAATTGATAAATCCTTGACTGTGTTTTACACCGTTGTGACCCCGATGTTGAACCCCCTCATCTATACTCTGAGAAATGCAGAGATGAAAAGTGCCATGAAGAAGCTCTGGACTAGAAAACAAAATTGAGGTTATTTCATTTACGTTCATTGAAGAGTTGATTCTTCCAAGATAATCATGTGATTACTGCAGTATACTAAATTTCCTTCAGGTTTAATGACTGAGTGATGGAAAATATGAAAAATAATCTGCATATATTTTTGAAACAAATAGAATCTTTAGAAAAATATATATTTCTTTTTGGTATGAAATGATTCGAGACTATAAATTTACATGCCATAATTAATGCTGTAAACTTATTGTAATTAATGAGAGTTTTTCATGGTTCTTACAGAAAAGTCACTCTTTTTCAGAATAATAGGGAAACCCAAAATATGCAAAAAAGCAAAGTAAAAGATAAATGATAGGAAGCAGGGACATGGTTGATTCTCAAATGGGAAGAACAAGATGTGGAGGAGGGTGGTGCAGGGCAGAGGCATGGATAAAAAGCAATGAAGATGTGTTACTTACGTGCACCACCTCCACTCAAGGAATGTAAGCAAGATATATTGCAATTGTGTACTAATAAAGTTTAAAAACATAAAAAGGAATTACTAATGTTTATGACACATTTTGCCAAAATAAAATTGTATATAAATGTACAGTTTATCCTCTTTTAAAAATTTGGAAAACATTGGTGGATCATATGTGTATTTGCAGTGTATGTTATTTTTGTTTTGTAAGGCTTTAAATATATAATTTTAAAATATTGCTTAGCATGTTATTCTTGAAGAGTAATATACTGTATTTTAAATATAATCATAATGAGGCTAAAAATTTAAAAAGCAGAAGACAGTACTAATGGTGACAGTGCAAGTGTTTATCCATCTTATGATAAGATCAGTGGAATTATCCTCTAAACATTGCTGAGAATATTAAAAATTAAAAGATGGTTCTGCATCCAAAGGAGTTAAATAAGTGACTTCTGAGCCCAGAGTGTAATAGTTAAGCAAACATTTCTATAAACTCCTAGGCATGATGGGTCAAAAAAGAAGAGAAGCTAAGTTCACCTTTGGGCTTACTAAAGGGAGAAGTTTGTTTAAGAAGAGATAAAAATTGATGTGGGCTCTTCCTTGAAAGAGATGTGGATGAAAAGATAGATCTCACCAAATATGCAGATGTGATGCATAAATATGACCACAAAACGTTCACAAGGCAGGAAAGCTGACGTAGGAAAGGGTAAGGAAACTTGGAATAGCAGCATCCTGGAGAGGGTGCAGTCAGCTGTATGAGCGGAGACATGGAAGATAATTTTTAAAAAAAGATGATCCGTATTTGTGCAGAGCAAGGGAGCAGACTTCAGGAAGTGAGACTGATGTATACGTTAACCAAGACTTAAAGAATTTTATTTCGATGTTTATTTTCCTGGAAACTGGGCTAGTGAAGGTTGGTCCTATTAAGGTATAACTTTGTTTGCTCCTCTCCCCTCATCCCCTCCTCTTTCTTCTCCGTCCTGTCCTTCCTCCCTGCCCATCTATCTCCTCAACTTGGATCCCCTCCTTCTGCTAGTGTAACGTTTGAACATCACCCTTGCTTCGTTCTGCATCAACACCTCCCATGTGGACCATGCTTTAATCAAACATGTGCACCTCCATCTTCCCATTGCTCATACACCCACAGACGGACATTTACAACTGCATCTGTATGTCTCTTTATATTTGTTTTGTAACATTATCATGTTACATATTGTTTTAGGCTTATTTCTTTCCTACTCTACTGCAACTTGTGGAAATGTCTCCTGGAGTACTTAAGTAACTAATTATTTAATTGGCTACTTTTGATTTAATAGGCTTTATATTCTATTCAGTCATATCTTTTTTAGAATTCACCTTAATATTTTTTACCTTTTTGTTTAAGGCCCTTAAATAATGCCACAAAACCATAGTATGAACATGTTATTGTGTAGTAGAAATTCAATTCTTCTGACATTTATTCCCAAGCGTATAATTGCTGTGGTGAAAGGTATATGTATTTTTACTTCCCATAGAGACTGAGATATTGTACTGCAAAACGTATGAAATTCAAATTGCAAGAAAATATTCTTTTCATTTTAACTACCTTTAAAGCTTTATCAATTTTTAAATCTGATGTACATGAAAATGATTTCTATTTTTCTGTTTGTTGATGAATTTAGCATTTTGTAATATCATATTTTGATCAGTGACTGCACTTTTTAAGTTGCATGTTTATAATTTGTTCACTGTGCTACTGCCTTGTGCTTTTTAAATTAATTTCTCAAAGTTTTTCTATTTCAGGTGCAATCTCTGCTTATAGTCTCTAAAATGTAAATCCTTTATTTAAATTACTTTTATCTAGTTATTTATTGTACTAATTCCTACATTGCTAAATTATTTCAAAATTTTCAAATTCATTATTTTGAAATTTCTCTTGTTAGTTGGGAAAATTCTTCTAATGTATAAAATCATCTCTATTTCATTATCTTTTAGTATATACAAAGTAAATTTTCTTGTCAGTTTACATTAAATCTTTAATATATTTTTATATTTGATTTTGGAATTATCTATACGCACAATATCATTAGCTACCAGATAAACAACTAGTTTTGGCAGGTTACTTCTTCTTTCACGAACAGTTGTTATCCTGAGTGTCCCTAATTATTTATTTCTGATTTACATTGCCATTAGCCTGGTATATCATGGAAGTTGTGGTCATGCTTCAAATTTGCATCATCTCTTTCAGCGATGGAGCATAATAAACCATAATGCCTATTTATAGGATGAACAGCAAGTTATCCTAAAATTTCTTGGCTCACTAGTAATAAATTTTGTGCATATAATCTTATTCTGAACAGTGATAGGAGAAGGACACATGGAACAAAGGAACCACGTGACTGAGATTGTGCTCTTGGGGCTCGCTCAGAGCCCACAGAAAATATTATTTGCTGTGTTCTTGCTGGTCTATGTGGTGACAATGGCAGGCAACCTACTCATTATGGTGACTGTGGTGCTCAGCCCAGCCTTGGGTTCTCCAATGTACTTCTTTCCTGGCTACTTATCAGTTATGGATGCTGTTTATTCTAACAAAGTTACTCCAAATATGATGATGGACCTACTTCATGTGAAGAAATCCATTTCCTTCAAAGCTTATACGACTCAGCATTTTTTTTTTTTTTTAGAACAGCTGTTTTTATTTGGTGGTGCTGAGATTTTGCTCCTGGCAGCTTGGCCTGAGATTGAGCTCTTATAAAACCGAGACCACTGAGGCTTCTGCTTACATTGCTAGGCCTTCCTGTGTGAACCAGGCTATGTACACCATAGTGAGTGATATGTAAAGCTGAAAGTCATCAGGAAGTGTGGGGGAGATCCCAGATAGCTGGATATGCCAGGAACACAGACTGTCCTGCAAGAAAGCTGTAAGCCCAGCCCAAGAGGGAGGTCATGTGGGCAGCAAATTGCAAGGCCATAGGAGCAGTATTTCCCAAATCCTATGGAGCTTATGCATCAGTAACATGTGCCCCAGATGATACATATGGGAGTGCAGAACTTCATATTTGTTTCTGCTAGATTTCAGTCTTTTTTGGTCAGATTCATTTCATTCTTCCTATTCCTGTCTTTTGGAATGGGCTTGTTAGGTCTGAGATGTTGCATGCTGAAAGGACTATACTTTCTTTTGGATTTTTTCAGGGTTCACAGCTAATGGTTTGCCTTGAGTCTCAGAAGAAATTTTGGATTTGGTCACCAATGCTGGAATGGTCAAGGCCAGGAACTTTTAGATATGGACTAAATATACTTAATGAAATGAACCCTTCCCATTTGAGGGCTCATGCTGAGTGTTATGGTTCAGCTCTATGGTGTTTCACAAAAAAAACTCATGTGTTTAGATTATAGGGGTGGTTCACTGGGGGTAAGGGAAGGGCGTGTTGTTGTATTTGGCCACTCCCTTCCCTAAGTGTGCTTGCTGGCTGACATGGGTTGAGGAGCTCAAATCTGCCACATCCTTGCATCAAACCTTTTCCATCTGGAACCAGCTGAGCATGAAAGGAATACTCTCAGGTCATGAGTTCATTAAACTTCTACACCTTAATGTTCAGATGCCATATATTCTAAGGAACAACAAAGCTAATACAACATGACACCTTAAGCATAAATACCAGCTATGAACATTCTCCAGCTTTGAATTTGATTTTTTCAAAAATCCTTTTGGTAATGTGCAGATTTACTCTATAGCTTTTTAATATCATTACTATTTAAAAAAATAATTCATTACAATTTTTACAACTTTTACAAATTCAGGAGAAGTAGACTCTTCTGAACAGCTTTTATCCCATGAACAATACCAATAGCACAAAGAAATGAGTCTTCCAAGGAAATTTTTAATGCTTCTCTGATTTTGTCTGTGACTTAATGACTACTCAAAAGTGTATTATCTAATCTTCATGTGTTTGCAAAGTTTTTGTGATTTATTTTGCTGTTGACTTCTAATTTTATTTCTCTTTAATTCAATAATATGCAGAGAATCATATTTCAATCGTTAAAAATTTATTTAAGCATGTTTATGGCCTAAGAGACAGTCTATTTAGAGAAAGTACCATGTTCTTCTTAGAAATGTATATTCTTTTGTTGGTTGAAACACCTATAGGTGTCTGCTAAATGCATTTGTTTGATACTATGCTTTATCTATAATATTTCTTTGTTGATTTTTCTCTAGATGACCTCTTTATGAGAGAGAATATAGAGATTCCCTGCTATGATTGTTGGTATTTATGTCCTTTTTAGTTGCTTCTGCTTTATGAAATGAGTTGCACTAATATTTGGTCCCTATATATTTACAATTGTTTTATTGTCTTGTTCAATTGCTCCCTTTTACTGATGTGTAGTGACTTTCTTTGTCTTTTCTGATCAGCTTTGGTTTGAAGTCCACTTTGTCACAAAATAGCATAGCAGCTTCTGCTTTTCTTAGTCTCAGTTGCATGGTGTATCATGTTATATACTTATATATACATATATATGTATTCATATTTTATAGCTCCTGAAGGAAAGAAGGAAGCACATATTTATATATTATTTCCTATTTCATTATTTCAATATCTGTCACAACAAACATTGATTCTGAAAAAGGAATAACTTTATGTAAGAAACATAAGGTAATCATTCATTAATTAAGAAATTTACAGTATTAACTATGACACATCATCAATAGCAACATTTTATACTAAATACCATATTTTATTCTAAGAAGTTCTAGTAGGAAAATGTATGTTGATTGGGAGAATTCACATAATAATGCTATCCATTGTATACAGATATTAAACCTCATTGAAAATTGAATATAATGAAATAACCACCTGTGACTTCCCCTAGAAAAGCAACAGTTCCTTGAACATAAAGCATACATTTCTCTGCTCTCTCATTTGTGCTGTTTCCTAGTCCAAAGTCTTCTCATGGCATTTTTCATCTCCGTGTTTCTCAGAGTATAGATGAGGGGGTTCAGCATTGGGGTCATAACAGTGTTGAACACAGTCAAGCATTTATCAATGGGCAAGGTAGAGGGAGGTCTCACATACATGACAATGCAAGGTACAAAGAAGAGGACCACCACGGTGATGTGGGAGCCACAGGTGGACAAGGCCTTGCGCCTCCCTTCCTGGCTCACATTCTTCAGGGTGTGCAGAATGACCCCGTAGGAGATGAGCAAGAGTGAAAAGATGACCACGCAGATCGTCCCATCATTGGTCACCACTGTGAGGCCAATAATGTAGGTGTCCATGCAGGTGAGTTTCAGTAAGGGGTACATGTCACAGATGAAGTGGTCGATGGCATTGGGGCCACAGAAGGGAAGGTTGTAAACAAAAAGAATGTGAAGCACAGCATGCACAAAACCCCCAACCCAGGCTAACACCAACAACTGAACACACATGCGTCGGTTCATGATGGTCAGATAATGCAGGGGTTTGCAGATGGCCACATAGCGGTCATAGGCCATGACAACCACAAGCAAAATCTCAGCACCACCAAAGAAATGTTCTGAAAAAAGCTGAGTCATACAAGCTTCGAAGGAAATGGTTTTCTTCTCATGGAGTAGGTCCTTCATCGTATGCGGAGTAACTGTGCTAGAGTAAACAACATCCATAAATGATAAGTAGCCAAGAAAGAAGTACATTGGAGAATCCAGTGCTGGGCTGAGCACCACAGTCACGACAATGAGTAGGTTGCCTGCCACTGTCACCATGTAGACCAGCAAGAACACAGCAAATAATATTTTTTGACCCTGCAGGCTCTGAGTGAGTCCCAAGAGCACGAACTCAGTGACGTTGTTCCTTTGTTCCATGTGTCCTTCCCCTATCATGGCTCAGAGCAAAGTTGTCTGCAAATAGAATTATTAACAGTGACCTCATTAAATTTTAGGATAATTTGTTCATTCATTTTATAAACAGGCATTATGACATCATATTTTACAACTATCAGAGACTATAACAATATAAGACTGATGAAAGCATTGTGCTCAACCTTAGTGATTTTGTACAGGGTTAGTGTCTAAAAGAAACTAGAAACATGGAGAAATGACTGATTGTAAAGAAAAAATGACTCTGCTGCAACTAGTTTTTCAAAATGCAAGCTAATAATTTTAACATATAAATAACACCATAAAATGAATTAGTATTAAATATTTTATATGAAAGTACAAGATATACACATTTCAAGTAATAGAGACGAGGCAGAAGAATCTGATGAACTATATAAGAAGCTCAAACAAATTTAGAATTTCATAAGTTTTTAACAGTGTAGGTAATGATACTTTAAAAAACAGACAAATATAGTTTGGGAAAGAACTTAAAAGTAAATGACATAAAAAGAGCAACCGAAATATAAATAACATCTTTAAGAAATTAAGAGAAGACAAATCAATAGCAAATTGAGCCAATAATATGAACGTGGAAGTAAAGGAAAAATCCACCTAAAATGACCATAAGCATAGGGTAGGGTGCTGAAGTTCTCCTGTAAACAAAAAAGGCAAAATGAAGAAAACTTCAGCTATTTCACAGATGTCATACATTAAAATGGATACATTTAAAAGTTTTAGTAAGATTGACCAGAGTATTTTATCATACTGAGATTTAAAATTTTTTTGGTTTTGGAAGTAAACTTGCATAAATATTTTACCAGAACCACTTCACTTTTGGGAATGTGTTGCATAGATATTAAAGCCATAGTACAAAGGACATCTGTACAGTAGGTCTTTGGGCATTGTTTTTACTGCCCTTAAACACAAGCAAAATAAATTTAAGGTGAATTCCATTAAAGGAATGATTGAATGAACATGAAACCTGTTAAGTTGAAAGCAGACATTTAAAAGAACTAATTACAAATATATCACAACCGTATTCAGAGAATTTCCATGAGTTACTGTGGAATAAGAAAGAAATAAGCACAAAACTACATAAAACATGGTATTATTGTCAGATAAAAATGACACCATAAATGTATCCACTTGTAAATGTATGTGATCACAGGAGCATAGAGAATATAGAAAGACACATGATTTTTCATTCATTAATTTTATTGGTGCATTTTAGCTACATAATATGATGACATTCATCATTGGACCTTTACATGATATATCGTTGTTCTTATTTTTCCCCCTTCCCCTCCCTGTCTGCAATCTCCCCACCTTCCCTATTACAGACTCTTTCAATTTTCCCTTTTCTTGTATTCATTCCTTTCCACTTTAGCTCTTTTCTCCCTATTTCATATTATCTATTATATACTTTGATCTTCATTTACTCTTTTAATTTATCACACCAGAAAAACTATTCAGTATTTACATGTGTCCTATTTATTTCACTTAAGAGTATGGCCTCAATGTGGTACAAACTATTCAGTATTTACATGTGTCCTATTTATTTCACTTAAGAGTATGGCCTCAATGTGCAGGAAGGTCCCATGTTTTCTTGTGGACGAGGTTGACATTTGTGGTGTTTATGCAGGTGACAGCTAGGGAGAATTCAAACTGAGAGAGGAGAAAAGAAAACAAAATAGAAGAGGGGGGAGAGAGGTGAGGAGAGGAGGGAAAGGAGAGAGAGAGGGGACGTGAGGGATAAGGTTGAGAGAGGGGAGGAAAGGGGTGGAAAAGGGAAGATGAGAAAGGAGAGACGAGAGAAAGCAGAGCAGTAACAGATGAAGAGACAGAAAGGAAAATTTAACAAAAAAAGAAAACATCACTATAAATAGGATCAATATCCACTAGCCCACTTTCCTCCTGAAATAATCCTAGTAATGCCAATTGCTCTCTAAGTCTCTCCTAATAGTTTCTTCAGGCTGATTCCATAAATTCTGCCCTGCTTCCTCTCAATAATGTAGATTATCTGTCTTCATATGTCCCATGCCTATTCTCATGCAGTAGATTTCATTCTCTCTCTCTCTTTTTTGGTGGTACCTGGGATTGAACTCGGGTCCTTGTGCTTGCAAGGCAGGCCACTGAACCACTGAGCTAAATCCCCAGCCCTGATTTCATTGTCTTTATAACTCTTAAGAACACTCCTCCTCCAATTTCTCCTTCTATTTCCTATACCAACAATTTTCCCCTTCCCACACACTATTCTATCAGCACATTTATGTAACATTTCTCCAAGTTCAAACACTACGTCACTTTTAAGCAATCACCCACACTCAATTACATGACCTTCTTGTACAATATCTTCCTATTTATGAAGTCCAGTGGTCAACTGGAGACCTCTTCTATCTGACCCACTAGTATGATTCACTAAAATAAAAGCTTGCTCACACAAGTGTCGCTCTTTGGCCTTCTACAGGTGCTGCATCACTTAATTTTTAAGAATCTGAACAGTGCTTAGGAGAGGAGTCCCTCGATTATATCTAGACTCTAAAGTCTCAAACAGTCACACATTAAATTAGTTTGTAAGAACACTGATGTTAGAGAAGGTAAATTTATACTTCTGTGCATGTGTAACGTAAAGCCTATTTCAGAATCTTACACATGAATACGTTTTCCTGGGGTTTTATGATATAAAAATAATCAAGAAGAGTATTAAAGACTGGGATCAATGTTCACATATTTTAGCAAGCACAAAGCACCTCCTAATGTAACTCATTTTCAGAATCACATGAAGCTTTCAAAAGATTGAGTTTTTATATAGCCAAAGTACTGTACTTACACCATGTCCAGCTAGTTCAAAATCTTACAAATAAAAATACTCCTCTGGGTTACCTGCACGAGGGGGCAATCCTTAGTCCTTCCGTTCAAGTTCTAGATTTTTGGGCGCTCTCCTTGGTCCTGACGGTTAACCACTCACGACCCCACCGCATCTCTAGGAGAATAGAGAACAAGTCACGCACACACACCACCACGTCACCTTGAGATGTTTCCATTGACCAATATCCCCCACACTTGAAGCAGGTCGATTCATCAAATTTTCCAAAAAACATTACTCTTTCATTTTTTGTCAATATCAAGAATGCCCTGTAACATCAAGAAATTTGAATCTTGATTATAAACAAAGAATATCCATAACTGCACTGTTTGCAAAATTTGTTATAATAATAAACAAATATTAACAAAGCATTTTAGGGTTAAAAACCCTGAATTTCATTCAAGAAAGAATCATGAATTTTAAGACACATATTTGCAATTTGTGTTTTTTTTAAAACAGAAAATGAAATAATGAAAAAGCCTTTAAAACGTTTTGATTCTCTGTCAGGTATACTGGCCTGAGTACATGCAGCATGCTTGAATTTAATGCTGATTAAAGGATGGGAGGAAAATCCCTATCCTACCATGCTTTGAGTCCACCATTTCATTTCCTAAGAAATCAGTCACGTGAAGACTAGTACAGACAGGTTCACTGAGGCAGGGCCAAAGGTCCGTTGACGCTTTGTGTGTATTGGGACCACAGCACATGCTGCTGAACCATTTAGTCATCACATCTCAAAAGCAGTGTTTCCTTTAATTAAACTCACTGGGGCCTTATTCATAATGCTAAGGATAGTCTAGGCACCTCCAGAGAGGCCAGAAGAATAATAGTGTACAAAGAGTTTTACAGTATCACACTCTCTGGAGGAAATGACATAATTAAACAACTTGGGGTAAAATCACCATGTCTTGGCAGCAATGAAATATGAAACAATGCTCTTTCTAAAATCATAAACTACGGGTGTAAGAACATGGAGGATGTAATGATAGAAATATATATACATGTAGGAAAATCCCAATATTGCATAAAATTAAGAACTTCTGAAAAGTACTATGTCTTGAAAAAACTTATGATTTACACATAGATGAATTTGGTGAGTAGAATATTGAACTTATGCCTTTTCAGATGACATCCGAATTCACAATCAAAGATGAAGACATTGATTTCAGAACAAGTCATAAAAACTTAAGTCAAATAAAGCCTGATAAAGCCTTGTTTACCCCTAAAAAATAAAATCTTGTGTATCACATAGTTTCAAAGAGGCCAATTATTGGAAAGTATATTAGAACAGAAAAGGGCAAAGAGAAAATACACACACACACACACACACACACAAATCAAATAGCAGATGTGCTATAGGACTATGTGTATTAGGGTGTGGAAACTTCAAAATTCTGACAGTAGGCTGCACTTTTAGAGATGCTTTGAGGATAATAGTTTCATAGAAAAGGATTTGCAAACCACACCATGGTGTGCTCACCTATATTTATAGCAACACAGTGTGTAATAACTAAAACTTGGAAACAGCCCAAGTGCCCATCAAGTGGAGATTGGATAAAGAAGATGTGTTTTTTTAAATGAAATGGAGTACTACTCAGCCAAAAAGTGTAAGAAACTAGACAGTTATAGCTAAATGGATTCACACTGAGGCCATATTCTTAAGTGAAATAAATGGGACACACACATGTAAATACTGAATAGTTTTTTTGGTGTGAGAAACAGTGTAAATGATGAACAAAATGTATAATGATGTGAAACAGGAAGAAAATATCTAGATGGGAGGGGGAAATTGGAGGGGTAGGGGAAAGGAAAGAAGGGAAAGGAACAAATATGAGAAAAGGAAAATATGGAAACAAAATCTTTGTAAATGTAGAAGTATGGAGGGGTTGAAGGGAGGGCAGGGGAACTGAGAAAATATAAGAACCAACATATATCATGTAATGGTACAAATTCCCAAAGATAAATCTCATCATAGTGTATACCTAAAATGGATTAATAAATTTAATGTATAACCAAAAAGATTTACAGAAACTTATCTTCTGGGGAAGATATCATAAATGAATACCTTGGGGCCAAATCCTCAAAAAAGCAGTATCAAATGAAATAAACATTCTAATTA